GGTCGAGCCGACGAGCTGAGATTCAGTCGACAGGAATACTTAGCAACTCACATTCCACGTTCCTATTCTGGAGGGATGGTAAAAACATCTGCTATCAAAAGGGATCCCAATGTCAGACAGCAGAATGAAACACTTAAACACTGTCAGACAGACCGGGCCAGCAATCCGGCCTGCTAGCACTGCGTCATCATATACAGATGTCGGCCTAAGGTGCCCCCCGGGGAACCATGGAAGGATATGAATATGGAGTTTTGAGGCTCCAGGCACCCATTGGAAACCTCAAGCAGTTTAAAGGCTCGCTGAATTCGCCAACTCCACCAATGGGGGTGTTTCACCCCGGGACAACCATGAATATTTGACTATATAGTTCAACCGCAACCAGCGGACTAGGACAAGAACGCCATATGGCCCCTGTTGAGCTTGAAATAGCCATCACTTGCAATGACTCTAGTCCTATGGAGACTGATTTTAAACACCCGTGGCCGAGACTGCCTAAATACAGATCCTAATCAGTTGCTTCCTGGTTTTTACCTGAGTCGACCCCCGAGGAGTATACAAATAAAATAAGAATTTTCCTGTTCAGACAAGCAGTGAGACTGCTTGTTTTAATGATTGCACGGCGGCTTGAGCGCCGACCTCCAACAACAGTATGAACTTGCTTTTGAATTGCTTGATGCAGCTTGAATGCTGCAGATTAGATGTTAAATAGATTTCAGTTAAATAGATTTCAGATTAGATTAATTTGGTTTGGTATTCTTATAAATTCCTTTTCAAACTAGATTGAATGTTGAACTTTGTTAGGTATGCCGTGTCATTATTGCCTTTTGTACATTTTGGAACATCATTTGAGCCTGGACTAGAATTAAGAAGAAACTAATTAGAATTAAGAAGGACTAGAATTGCGGGGCATGACTCCACCTGCCCCGCAATAACGAACTCTTACATATTTCCTCTTCAGCATGAATGGATTTTTCTTGGCATTCTGCCAGATACAGATCCCATCAGTTTGGGTACAAGTACCTGTTGGATAGTTTTTAAGTAAGAAGGGAGCGGAAAATTGTTGAAAATGTCTCTAAACGGCACAGAAGCTATACTGCTGGTTTTAAGCTTAATGTAATTTCATGTGCTGAACAAATTGGAAATCGAGCAGCAGCTCGAGAGTTTGAAGTGGACGACAGATGTATTCAACGTTGGAGAACTGAGAAAGAACTTCATTAAAAATATGCCACAACAGAAACGAGGCCAAAAGAAGTGGTACTGTAAGGTGGCCAAATCTAGAGGATGACCTTGTGAAACTGGATAAAGGAGCAACGAGGAAAGAGAATGGCAATTTCAAATGTAAAAATTATCGCTTAAAAGCCAAATTTATAGCAAAAATTTAAGCAAAACGAAGGAACATAAATGATTTCAAAGGAGGGCCTTGGTGGTGTAGCAGATTTATGAAAAGAAAAAATATTTCTCTGTGCGTACTAGAAACAACAGTCGGGTAACAATTACCAATGGAACGGCAGGATAAAAAGTCATCTTTTCTAAAATATGTGACAGCTATTATCGACAAAAAAAACTTCTTCGGTCACAGATAATAAATATGGATGAAACGCCGTTAGCTTTCGACTCTCCTGCAAACAGAAGTGTTGATGAAACTGGTGCAAAAACTGTATCTGTGTTTATGACGGGCATGAAAGAACGTCATTTACATATGTGTTAGCTTGTGCCGCAAACAGTGACAAGCTAAAGCCGATAATCATTTTTAAACGAAAGACTATTCCGAAGGGAGATTTTCCTAACGATGTAATTATTTATGCAAATGAGAACGGCTAGATGTGCGAAACAATCATGCATGAGTGGCTACAAAAAGTTTTGCAGTGTCGTATGGGATCTTTTTTCCAACCAAAGGGGTTATTGATAATGGATTCCATGCGTGATCATCTCTTTGAGTCAGTGAAAACCAGATGTCAAAAATTGTCTACGACCGAAGCAATAATACCTGGTGGTTTGACAAAAATCTTACAACCATTAGATTTGTCAGGTAATAAATCCTTCAAAGCTGTGGGAGTGAAGGGCGAGTGAAGGATTGTATACGTAAACCAAAAGTGGTAAAATGCGTAGAGCGTCTTTTGAAGAAATTGCAAAGTGGGCAGGAAGTGCGTGGAAATCGGTAGAAACATCGTCAATAATAGCAGGGTTCAAAGAAGCTGAAATTATATCCTTAGATAAAGAGACTGTAAACCAAGAGGATGAATGTGACGATCTGGAAGACTTAGATCAGGATTTACTAAATCTTTTTAATTCAGATAGTGAAGATAGGTTGAGTTTTTGCATCTATATGGCCCACGACAATGTCACGCGCAATTTAATCTATTGCGGCGTTTCTGTGTAATTTTTATTTTTTTCCCGCCATTTTTCTCGAGTGCGGCGTTTACGCTGATGCGGCCTTTCTTCCGGAAATTACAGTAAGTTGACGATTTCCGTGAAAAATTTTTAAAGATCAACAAAATTTTGGATATTTGTCATACGTCAGCAAACATTATCAGCATATCAAAAGAAAACACACTTTAGCAATTTAAAATGCAAATTCTAATTATTAAATAAGAATTATATGATACATTGAAAAAATGAGGAAAGAAGTAGTCAACGAGGGAAGAAGAAAGTACGTTAGTACTAAAAGTAATATATTAGTGAAAAGTGCTGCTAGATTTTAATTGAAGATTAAAAGTATTGTAGATCCAACTCATCAGTTAGAAAAAATCCTTCTGTAATTTTTTCCTCCCATAGAAATCTATTTTTCCTTTATAAAAAAGACGGAGACTTCCACAAATTTGATATCATGATTTCACAAAAACAGTTGAAACTCCAGTGTAATAAAGTAGGATTCCATTTTCACCACTTTAAAAATAACAAATAGCAATCAGAAACAAAGAATATGTAACCAAGAGAGAAATATCCCTCAATCGCACTGATTTGAATAAAAAGATTGCCTGAATAATACAGTCAAAAATCCAGACGTCCATTATCTGGAATGATCTAAAATCCGAACCTCAAAACCATCAACAGCGTTTTTCTTGTAGGTTTTAATGCATGCCCATTTCATCCCCCCCCGCATCTGATAAAACATCTGGAAAGTCCCAATTCTTAATTTCACTTCAACACTAAATAAAATACCTTGTTTGAAGAAATAATCGTTTTACCATAAATTTGTATGATCAGTAATTTGGTTTCGTTGCTGTGTATCTGCTTGGCACACATCTCAAACCGAAACATTCCACATACATACATCATTGATCAGACTCCAACCTGGCGAATCATTATTTATTATACTTTCCTTTCATCACCGCATGTTTATTAAAACATGACAACTTGAGTAATGACTCATGTAGCGATGTGTAGGCAATTTTTTTTTATGTTAGTAATTGAATAATAAAGGAATATGGTAACCTTTTATGTTGACATTACCCTTGACTATGATTACAGATTTAACTTAAATGCACTAAAAAATGTTGATGAGGAAAAATTTGACAAAACATTCTTTCTATATGCTAAAAAGAGATTTTGTTGATGATACTCATAGACCCAAAGATTGCATTAAGGGCTATTTGAATTAAGAATAACTGATTTGTTATTCACATAAACTCAGAACCAGCACTCGTACGGCTGCACTGAGTCGCAGAATTTAGGACCCACAGAGACTGCATCATGTGGTAAGATAGCTAGCACCTGTCTTCAATAAGGCTTAAGTATATGTGGGAATTTATTTATTCAGAACTCTGATAAACCTTAACCATGTGCAAGAAATAAACATAAGTATAATAAGTAACTAAACTAATGCAATTCAGGCTTAATTGTCTCAGTGTGTGATAGAAGCAAGATAAAATTTAACAGAACAACTTGTGATTAGTCGCTAAGCTCATGATACCTAACCAAATGTGTATAGTGAAGGACAGCTAAATTTGATGACAATAGCCGCTAATTTTAAAGGTTTTCCAATATCGCAAAACAAAGGTGAAATTTTCCAATTAACGGATTTTGTAAAGAAATGTGGAGAAGCAGTAATAAATGAAGATGATATAAAAGTTTTTCATTGTGACAATGCTTCTCAACCATCAATCAATCAATGAATGGTGAAATCTGGGGTATGGTTCTAGATACAGAAAGTACCGCTACCAACAGAGAAGTTACTAAAAATGAGAAAATTTTGATTGACAAGTTAGTCGGAATTCTCAAAACAGCAATTACAGGACTTCAACTATGTAACAATAAGAGATTATGTCTGTCTACAGCATTAAAGAGAAAGTATTAGCACAAAAAAAGAAGCAACTTATATTGAAAGAAATGTTTAATAAGGTAAACAAATAAATATTAAGCTGTTTTTTAAATTTTGATAACCTTTCGATCATAAACACTTCATTATTTCATAAATCACAATTTCATAGTTTAAATTTTATAACTGCTACATGCCATCTTATTAGATTTAAACTGATGATCAAATATCCGGAATTGCTGAAGTCTCGACAAGTCCGAATTTCGGGCTTTGTACTGTATTATCTAACAATGAAAGCAAGGTAGAGAAAAAATTGAATATTATGTTAATACATTAATAAATAAGAGAGAATTGAATAAGGGTACATTTGATTTTGATAGTTTGTTTTGCATACTGATGAAATTAATTTTCAATCGGAATACTTTTTTTTTCAGTTGAATTTTTTATATATATATATATATGAATTATATTTTCCTGCTGTAAAAGTTACACTTTGTAATTTATTTATTTTGCAAATCATTTCAGATAAGATTAAGCTGTAGCAAACTGTATTAATAACAAAACTACAAGAAAAGAGCTTTGGTCTTAGTACCCTTTAAATAGGAGAACATTTAGTCTAATGAATGATAGAATTTTTTCACTGTAGAGTTATAAAAGCAATGAATCTTGATCTGCCTATTTGTCAAAAGGTATTTTGTTTGAGCTGTATGTTTAATTAATTGACTTATTTCTGTTCTTTTAGCTCTCCAGTAGTATTACAAGAGTCCACTAACCTAACATCAGATTTTCCAGTATTAAGGAAACAAAAGACTTCAAGTAATGCTAATTTGCCCCATAAGGTATGCAAGTCAACTATTCCAAAACCATTCCAGTTCAAAACAAATGATCGTGTAAAGGACAAACCTCATAAGAATTCTGATTATAAAGAACAAGATTTCAAAATGCAGCTTCGGAAGAATACGCTTACTCAGACTGCAGTAAGTATTTGGACTTATATTATTAAATAAATTAGTCTTATTAGTTGTACATTTATTTTTAGGTAAATTATTTATATCTGCATTTGGGTACTAATATTAGAAAAAAAAATTTCTATTGTGCATCTTCTAATTTTGATATTATGATTTCAGATATAATCTTCTTAATATTTAACAAAATTTGTGCCTTTAATAAACTTGATATACAATGAATATTTTTTGAAATATTTTGGTCCTACTGTATGAAGAAGTAAACTTTCCAGACGAGAATTTTACTCTCTTTGGGGGAAAAGCCGTATTTATTTAGATATCACTTATGTAAAAATAAATTATATATGAAACATGTTGCTCATATTTAACATGCTTTGAAATGTCACTTCTGCACAACAGATAGAATATAAGCAAATGTAATATCCAAGAAGGTTATTAAATAAAAGTATTATTGCAATATCCAGGAAAAGTCTGTCTGGGCTCCTTCAAAACTGTTACTATCATGTCTTTATCTGTCTCTAAACAACTAGGTTTTACCTGTATTTATTATACTGCTTTGGCCCACTAATGACCGAGTGGTTAGGATAGTTGAATGTTGGGAGTTCAGCCTGGGTTCGATGCCAAGTGAACTTTTCCCATGTATAACAGAAATACAAGTCGGTTTACCTTCAAAATTCCTCTGCAAAGGCATTTATCACCTTAGGCAGGTAACCCTTGTGTGCTTTGCCATTTTTCTGTTTCTGTCTGTAACTTAACCTATTTTCTGTTTATGTGAGTAAGCTATACCATTAAAAGCATGATGGAAACCGGAAATTACATGAGAGTATAACCCTTTTTGTAAAACTGGATAGGATTTAATTTTTGTCATATTAAAAGCATAATTATGTACTAGTGTAACCATCTTGGTTCTGTGATGTTTTTCTGTAGCGAAATAGCAGATGAGCTTCTTTATAAAACATAAAATTTTATTCTCAATTCACAAATATAGATAATTTACAGGGGTGTTTGTGCTCCGGGGATTTTGAACTTCGATACCTGGAAATTCCGGGGATCGTCGTTCAAAAGGAAGTAGGAATAATAATGAATTATTTATTTTGATCTGGGTAATTTTGTTTGCTTTGAAAGCAGAAAACGCAAGGTCAGTGTGTGTGGTGAAAACTTTTCCTTTCTTTCTCCAAAGGCAGTTGATAATGCATGAAAAGAGGGAAAAAAACTTCTTTTTGTTCTTTCCTTATGCGAGTTACGACTCATTCCCCCGGTTCTCGGACATTCTCTTCTGGATTCTTTTCGGCAAGTAGGCGCGGCAGAAAAAAAAGGGAGAGACTTTCGTTCGACCAGATGTGCGATCACGTGACTCTGGGTTCAAAGGCTTATCTCTCCTGGCGTGGCACCAATAAGTAGAGAAGGGGGATTTTTCGCCGTATTAGCTATTTGTCATTGATCGCTTCTCAACTTTTTTTTCTCCACTGTGTAAAATTTTCGTTTCATTTATTGATGCACGTGTAAATTTTTCGTTTCCTTTATTGAAATATTTTTTTTTTTATTTATGTACGCAAGAGAATTTCACTATGAAATTTCTCGATATAAATAGTGATATTATACAATTAGAAGAAGGTGTCCGGAATGCATTTAGGTGGAATTGGATTGAACGGAGAGATGGTAATGGAGATACCATCACCACATGGTGCAAGAAAATAAATGTTGCTGGACAAGCATATTGTGTTTTTTGTAACTCACTGCTGAAGTATGGTGGGGAAGGATTCAAGGCTTTCACAAATCATTCTAAAACTGTGACGCACATAAAATATTCAAAGTGCATTAGACATCAATGATTTTAAGTAATTATACTAATTAATGACTTACTGGAGACTGATGCTCGGCCATTGGATATAGTGACAAGAAAAGCACGCCAAGAGGTATGTATTAATAACTTCGTTTATCGCCGAGAATTCTTTCTTTCAATGTAGCTCCCAATTTAATTGAACTCTGCAAACAGTTGAGCTGCGATCAGAGGGCACTAAACTCATTGGAAATGTCCAGGACTACTGCATGTTATAAGATGAAATATGGGCTCGCAAAAAAACTATTAAGGAAAATATCATTAAAACTTTAAAGGAGACTCCATTTTCTCTAAATTTGGATGAAAGTACTAGCAATGCTCAAGAAAGTATACTGGCAATATTGGTGCAGTTTTATACAACAATCAAAATGAAATAGTAGTTCATCATTTTGCATCTCTAAAGATGGAATCTTGCAATTCAGAAGCTGTTTTTAAAGCAGTTGTTAATACTATTGAAGATAATAATATTCCATGGGCAAACTTATTAATGGACTCGTGTAACACCATGCGTGGGAAAAAAAAAGGGTATTGAAACCAGACTACGATCAAACAAAGCACCTCACTTATTAGATATTGATGGTGACACATGTCACACAGCTAATAACTGTGCAAAAAAATTTGCTTCATGTTTTGATAGATACTTAGAAGATTTGTTTGATGACATCTATTTTGATATGAAAAGCTGCAGTAAAAGAGAAAATTTTTTCAAAATCTGTGAATCCCTTGCCATTAAAAAACTTAAGCCCTTGAAGAGACCAGACCATAGGTGGGTGTACATTTTATGTGTTTTAGAAAGAATCAAAGATCTGTGGGATGCTCTTATTGCATTTTATTTTCACTACTTGGATAAAAACTGATAAAGGGGATTATTTTTCTTATGTTGAAACTGTATACAATAAAAGAAATATTTCTGCAGCTCAGAAAAAAATTGTTGAAGGGGTGTATTCTTGCTTGCATTCCCAACAACTCACAAAGGATGCTTTAGCTCGGAAAAAAAGAATACTAATGGGTTATTGTTATGCAAAACAAAACTTTATTGCATATGGCATTATATTCAGCAGTTTTACCAGAGTTCAACACATATATTAAATTATTTGAAACAAAAAAAGCCAATGCTTCATTTAATACATTCCAGTATTTATAAATTGATGGCAAAATTTTTCACTTTTTTTTATGAAGCCAGAAAATATAGAGTGCACATCTTATAATGATTTATTAAAGGTTGATGTCACAAATCCAGAATTCCATCTACCTAGCAAAGTAATATTTACTGGTGCAGAAGCTTCCACTCTCCTGAAGAAATTATCAAAAATCATCCAATAGCAAAAGAATTCCAAATTTCTCTGATGAAAGCTTATACTAATACAGCACAGCATATGAAACAGAAATTACCCCTTAAAAATTCATATCTAATTAGTTTTACAGCATTATATCCAGAGCTAAGAGGTAAAACCAGTACAATATTAGCTTTTGAAAAATTATCATCTTTTATGTCCCATATTTTTAGTGATAATGAAAAGTCAAAAGTAGAAGCTGAAATAAGGTTATACCAGAGTGATATTGATATCACCAAAGAAATGCTCTACACATCTGATGAAAGTGGGAAATCAAGTCAAGTGTACAATTGATAAATATTGGTCTAAAGTTTTTAATTTAAAAGATGATTTCACAAATGATTATAAGTATCCTACATTGGCTAAATTGGTCAAAGCCTGCCTTAGCTGCTTCCATGGCCCATTAGTGGAAAGTGCATTCAACTTAATGGATACACTTGTCACTGACTATAGAACCTCTCTTAAGATTGATTCCCTAGATGCAGTGCAGATTATTAAATATGATTTAATGGCTTCTAAAGAAACCTCATGTGAAAAATATGGCTAAAAAAATCCAATGACTGATCCAATTCACAAAGATCTCTTACTGAATATGAACAGAAGTTGGAAACATATCAAGAGGACTTAAAAACATGTATTTCAGATGAGTCACCTATAAAAGTCTCTGAAAAACCTTCTACATTAGCATAAAAATATACAGAAAAGCAAACTGCTTCTACTTCTGCATGTGCAGTTCTCGAGGAAATTTCTTCAACTGTAAATGAGGAAAATAAAAGTCAACCTTCCTGCAATTATGAAGTCCACCACAAAAGAGAAAGCAAGCCCACAAACATCAGAAAATAAAAAAAAGCAGCAGAAATTAGATAATTTTTTTTAAAGAATTAATTCAGGTAATTTAAAATATTTACATAAAATGTAGTAGTTTACATGCTTGAAAATTTATGGTTATTAATTTTGCAAAAAAAGTAATTCATTGAACTTTTATAATTAGGTCATTCAATACTTCATAATTGTAATTTTTCATTCCCCCCCTGAATTTAAATTCAATCCTATCCGTTACAGCTACACTCCAGCTTACTATTACAGTTTCTTTTTCTATAAAATTTTCATACATGTACTAGTTGGTAAAACTTTCATTAAAAAAATTACAAGATTTCTGGCGTTGCTCTGCAACGGTTACACAATACAAATATGGCGTTAACACTCCAGTATCAAGGATAATAAATATAATTATCTGTTAAATACTAAAATATTACAACCTCCCACCCCATCCAGATAAACTTTTAATTTATATTTTTATAAAATAATGTTTACATTTCCCCCCCCCAAAAAGAATATCAACACAATACATAATTGAAATACAACAAATAACATAGTAACATACACTCAGGAAGAGAGGAAAGAACAAAATATATTTTTTTTTTTTTATCTATGTGGAGAAACAAATTATTTAATCAGGCCAGTAAGTACAACTTAATGGTCTACATTGTTATGGTTTTCATCACTTTGATAAATGGCAGTGTAATTGTAGGGTTGTAATACTAGTGCCCATCTCATAAGTTGTGGATTTAGACTCGCATTATTTTTGAGCCAAACTAGAGGATTATGATCGGTCATGACGAGGAATATGGTATGCCCGATTAAATAGCATTGCAGTTTCTTTAGAGCAAATATTATGGCAGCGCATTCTTTTTCTGTGGTAGAATATTTTTTTCAGTTTCTGTAAACTTCTTACTGAGGTATAATACTGGATGTTCATTGTCTTTCTGAGCTAAAATGACACCCATACCTGAGTCTGAGGAACCAGTTTGCAAAATAAACTCCTTATTGAAATCAGG